CACTGATCTTTGTACTCTCTCTACAGTTTTCCCTTTTCCAGAATGTCATATAGTCGCACTCAATAGTATGTAGCCTTTTCAGATTGGCTTCTCTCATTTAGTAATATGCATTTAAAGTCCCTCCATGTCTTTTCATGACTTGATAGATCATTTATTTTTAGTGCTGAGTAATATTCCATTGCCTGGATGTGCCACAGTTTATTTATCCATTTGCCTACTGAAGGACATCTTGGTCGCTTCCAAGTCTTGGCACTTATGAATAAAGCTGCTATAAACATCCGTATGCAGGGTTTTGTGTGCACATAAGTTTTTAACTCATTTGATTTAATTCCAAGAAGTGCAATTGCTGGCTTGTATGGTAGAGTGTGTTTAGTTTTGTACAAAACTGCCAAACTATTTTCCACAGTGGCTATACCATTTTACTTTTCTTTATTCTTTTAACATTAAAATTTCACCTGGATACACTTAGATCATCTGGCCTCTTTAGTTTGCCTAGGACTCAGTGCACCTTTTGATCTAAAGACTTAATTCTTCAGGTCAGGAAATTTTCTTTATTTCTTTAATGATAATTTCTTCATGGGCTCTGTTCTCTACTTCTGAAATGTCCGTTATATAAGTATATTTGATTTCTGGACCTGTCTTTCTTTCTCTTTTAATCTCTTTATTATTTTTTTCCTGAGTTATGGGGAAGGTTCTCAAAGTAGTCTTCCCTAGTTTGGTTTTTAATCTGAAAATATATTTCCTGTTTTTGCATACATTTCCATATTCATACATAGATTGACCTTTGGAATCTTATTTAGAATATAAATTAGGAAATTCTGTTTCTCAGTTTCTTAGTAAGGATATAATACTTTATCTTTTTTCTTATGTCTAGTAACTTTTCTCTACTGGCTCACTTTATGGAGGGGCCTAGATCTAGGGTTTTGGGGGACTGGCATTTGAAATGTTTTTTCTTATGTCTAGTAACTTTTCTCTACTGGCTCACTTTATGGAGGGGCCTAGATCTAGGGTTTTTTGGGATTGGCATTTGAAATGGTTCTATAAAAGATTATATAGATCATTTTCAAGCATGTTGGTTCTGGGCAATGGAGAAAGAAGAAATTTAATTTTCTAGTTTGGGAGGCCCAACTGGCCATGATTAGGGCAGAGAGACCTTCTGAGAAGAGAAGAGAAGTTTGCTGCTGTCCTGGGCAACTTCTTTTCAGTATTTGCTGAGGCAGCCTAAGATTAGCTGGAGGAGTGTCTCCCTTCTCTAACTGGCATGAGCACATAGCTAGGAACCTGCTGG